TGATCGCGTGCCACACCGTCGAGGCATGGAACGAGCAACTCCAAAAGGGAAATGACTCGAAAACTCTTGTAATCTCTCCATTCTTTTTCCCAAATTTTCTTGGTTTGATTTTGTATCTTAGAGTCTCGATCTCTCACATCGATGCAATGCATTGCGTAGATTAGATTCTATGGTTAATGTATAGATCATAATGAAATAGATTGCTGCGATTCATATTTGATGTTTCTGTTTAATTAAATATGGATGTAATGTTTTCATTTGTTTTATAGCTCATGCAAATTCCAAAATTACTTTTGAAATGACTCATGATTTGTGGTTTGTTGCAGGTAGTGGTTGATTTCACAGCTTCTTGGTGTGGACCATGTCGTTTCATCGCCCCGTTCTTCGCTGATTTGGCTAAGAAACTTCCCAATGTGATTTTCCTCAAGGTTGATATTGATGAATTGAAGGTAAATAATCAACCAAATTTTACCCCTTTTTTCATGATAATAGATTTCTCAATTTCTTATATCGATGAGCTTTAAAATCCTCTTTTTCTTGTTTTGATTGAACAGTCGGTTGCAAGCGATTGGGCGATTGAGTCGATGCCAACTTTCATGTTCATCAAGGAAGGGAAGATTGTGGACAAAGTTGTTGGGGCCAAGAAAGATGAGCTTCAGTCTACCATTGCCAAACACTTGGCTTAAAAATTTAAAGCTTTCTAAACGTTCTTTAACATTTTTACAAGTTATGTCTTAAAATGTTGGATTAATTGCTCTATTACTCTTTGAGATGTTATAACTTATTCCCATTTGTTATGATTCCGATATAAAACTCGTTCTTATAATTTGAAAAATCGATTGCTTTTACTTCTGTCCTTATAATTTGAAAAATCAATGTGTATTTTCTACACTTTTGTCCTAATATAAAAGAGAGTTTGCTTTGTTTCTTATGCCCAAAAAGTACATTCCTTTGTGGTTATGAATTAAGATGAGGTAAAAGAAGGCATAACGCTTGATGTTAATTTTCAAAAATAAGATAACTTTGGGAGATGAAGATGTGTTTAGCTACAAATGCAAATATTTTCAAAGAGAGGATAATTAGTAACCTGAAATCAAGTGGGTTCCATGACAAGAAGATCATTGAAGCTTTCTCATGAATAAATATCAAATCAAGCATGGATATATTATTTATTTGGTATTAAAGTACCAAAGGATCTACACGAATAAAAGTGAATATCAGTTAAATTTTAGGATTTTGTATATCATTTTGTTACTAATAAATCAGAACGTTTCGGGAAACCTAAATCTGATAAATCCATTTTAACAAGGAAAGAGAATCATTCCTCCGCGAAATCATTAAAAAAGGATATTTGGCGAAGCAAAAGTGTAATCCATAATAAATTGCATTATGCAAATTAACAAGAAAAAGTTGAAACATCCCATTTTATTAGAGTTTATAACGAACCCTAACATCAAATGAATATCATCGAATGCAC